TTATTGTGCAGATAAACGTGAATTTCGCCGCCGTTGAGGGCATGCTTTTCAAAAATTTGCGTTGCACTTCAGGGGAGGTGATCCGAAAGCGAGACAGGGTTCTAGGGACTCAAAAGTTCCTAATCTAAAGATGACTTTGATCGGTACTCGGGAAGGGGTGGGAGAAATTACAGAGGGAAGCCGGGGGGAGAGGGAAGAAATGGACGAAAGGGAGACATTACATGCACCATAATATTTTCTGGTTTCAAATTGACCCGTTTACGACAACGTGCATTTTTAGTTGCCCCATGGAAGCGCCTTTCACGGATGAGTCAAGAATTTCCAGCTAAAATCATGCAGATTGTCAACTACAGTATACCTACAGTAATTATATGAAGCGGGTGAGAAACGCAAAAGTATCTTCTAGGGTTAAAGCATAAGAAAACTTCTGAAACGATAGCAGTCCAAGATAGCAGCCATTTTAACAAAATTTGTGCCGTGGCCCACTATGTGGGTCGCATTGTCCCACGTGGCAGTCATTGCATGACCCATCGTTGATCACGTTGTCGTTTGTGTTAGTTTGCGACTAGTAGATTTTAAGATGATTCCGAATATTTACAGTTAAACAATTCTTGCATAAACTAACTCAGTTATCATTATCTGAGCTTTGAGGGTAGGACGAGGAGGATAGACAGAGAGCTGGAATAAGTGGTTAATTTATTTTATAGAGTTGCACTATGTTGATGCACAATCAATGCGTGTTACTTAATCTTGTGAAACAGAAAAGGTAAAACAATTATGAGACATGTCTTTAGATAATAATGTTCAAACAATCTTAGAAAGTTTGATACGGATAGTTGGATAGAGGTTTAATCCGGAAAATGGATCTCTGCCAAGAAAAATCCTACAAACCCCCAAATCGCTCACAAAAATTACATGTCGCATTCGCTTTGCATAGGTACACTTGCTGGTTCTTTTCCATAGCTTGAAGTAGAGGAAACAAAATTTGGCATTCAATATTATCAATACTGGATTGTCTCGACATAGATAATTCCATACTCAAGCCTTTGGAAGTGTAACAGCAAATTTTGAGCCTTATTCGAGCGCTGGTTGTCAGAGATATACAAATTTGACATAAAAACCCGAAGGCGACATTTTTGGATGTTTGGCCCTCTTTTAATTTTTAATTTCCATTTCGAAAAAAATGCGGCATGTACACATACGATTATCTTGATTATCTTATGTGTATAGTACATGCTTGACCAAGTTTGAAGATAGCAGGATCTTTTTAGACATAATCTGATTTTGGGTATTCAAAATTTGCTAGATTTTTTTTACAGGTTAACGTAGACTGAAGCTTTTGAGAATGCCCACATACTATCTTATAAATCTTGCTCCACTATCGAGTAATATATTGTGCTTACTTTCATATGTTCTCTGGCACTTCAAAATAAGGAGCATGCATTATTTGCATCAGCCTACTGATTGCGCTGTCGATACTTGCAGGCTAATGTCTAGTACCCTCAAATCACGACAGTTATAGCGATATTTTCGAGGATTTCACTACAGTTCCAGTAGAACAGCTTGAGTAGTAGTGGATGTAATCGATGACAGCATGCAAAGAAATTTGATCGAAGCGCCTGATATCAATTTGCAAGACGGTATACAATGTTGCGTTCTCGTTTCCTGAAGAACACAAATGGGACAGACTTCAGATGGAGCATGCATAAAAGTCTTCTAAAGTCAACCATGAATTTCGAGCGGTTTCTGCGCAGTGAATCATGTGAGACCACCCAAACTGCCAATGCTGGAATGCGTGGTGGGATAGTCACCAAACTCACGACGGCTTGGTGGCTTCAACTTTCGAAGTCAGGAGATATGGCCATTGACAGTTTTGAGGACAAAGATCCTTGCTATTAAATTCTTTGCAGGTAAATGCATGTTTTCTTGATACCATCTGAAAGAGCTTTCTACGCTCTATCCATCCATCTGCAGCTTACCTCATATTTTATCAGTCTTTGGAAAATATAGGGCGAAAATTGATTTTTTGGTTTATTGCGCCAAAAATAGCTTTTTTCCAGGGTTTTCCGCTTTTTTCTTCTTAAATTTCGAAGAAATCTCATGTGTTTGACAAATCGTTTGAAAGAGCACGAAGAGCTCTTTTGAATTGTCCTTACGGTATAGCAGCGCAAAACTGAGAGAGTTCAAAAACCCTGTCTGAGTTCCTCACGGCGCTACGCGTACATTTATGAAAGAGGAGCGGTAACGCGTTGCCACAATAATAGGCGAAGGTCGGTTTTTGTAAGCAACGTTTGAGTTGCAGCCTGCTTGTTGTTGGTGAGAACAAAAAATCTCAAAATCTAATGAAAATCAAGCTGCCCCATTTTTTACCGTTCAAATGTATTCCACTGCTGCAGGAGTTCGACCAGAGATGTATTAAGAACCTTGAAAATATCGCTTTAACAGACTTGTGACTTGGGATACTAGCATGCTTCTAAGCACTGTCAGACATTACAGCGCTGGAAAGTAAAAGAGCCACTAAATTCTTCCCACCATCCTCCAGCAGCCCTCAAAGCAGCGTCTGTCTTCGTCTTCCACCCTTCCCCCCCCCCCTTCTTGGTCCTTCAAATAATTTGTTGCGAAAATTCAGATAGTAGCTTACTTGAGTTACAAGATATGCAAAAACTTGTTTCTTGTAAATAATAGGTTATCTTCGCATTTTGGGAAAACCTAGTAATTGAAACCCTGATGAACAGATAATAGCAAATTATTTTGTGAAAGCAAAAGATAAAACAGTGCGTACGATGTCTCCTTCTCCCGTTTCCTCAAATTTCTCGAGCCACCCCATCCCTTGCTTTCAACTTTTGACTCAACCGAGATCGTCTTTAGATTGTGAATTCTGAGTATAAACGACCTTCGTAAAGGCTAGTTCACGCCATTCCGTACCATGTAAGGTTGATTTTCGAGATTACTGTCGATTTACCCCGAGTAAGCAAAAAAAAATTGTGAAAGATTGTCGAGCCACTGCCTCAAACTAAACACTATTATAGATCCACTTGCTTGATTTAATCACCATTGCTTCTTTGACTCTCAAATTTTGTTTATAGCTACACCTTGAAGTATGAAACATTTGCAGCACCTCCGACCTTTCCTCGTAATTGAAGATAAACAATCACGTGAAATTTTGCTTTTGACAGCATTGAGAGTTGATCTGCTTTGACAATAAGCTTGTTTGCAGAGTTTACGAGCTTTTTCACATGCCAAGCAGAAGTCATAGAATTTTGTGAGCTTTCTTATGAGGTGAATAACGCTCTTAGGAACTTTGCGTAATCGTCGATATTGACGAACAGCTGCAAAATTACCATAGAGTAGGCACTTTTATACAAAACTCGATTTTCAATATTTAGGTGCTGGGCTTGATTTATTACCTTGCCTACATGATGATGCGGTTTTGCGAAAACTCTCAGATTGTTGTGATGCAATCGCGTCTTCGAATCTCAAGTACTTTTCATGGAAATTTTCCTGAGCAGTAGATTGGACATAAATCTAAATCTCACTATTTCTTCTTCTTTTTATTGATAATTAAGGTGAAGGACGTTTTTATAGATATAGACTTTGAGTAATCGTTGATGTTGAAGGACAAGCTCTAACATCACCCAAGACTGTCACGCTTTTACATTCCAAGGCTTGGTTTATAAAAACTTGTACAACAATGAAGACGTGTGCATAGTTAGAAAAAAATAGCTGCACTGAGCATTTTGAATCCACCGCAAAAATTTATCCTTCAAAATCAAGGCAGCCTGCACAATTACGGATCAGACTTCTAGGTCAAAGTGGGAAACTCTTAAAACTTTAAGATCTCAGTTACTTTTGACTAGTTCGCAAAACCTGATTCAAATCAGGGAGAGAAATAATGACATTTGGGGTTATGTCCAATCTCTGCTCACGAAAAACCACGAAAAATAATCCTAATCTAAAGGCGTGATTGTATCGCAACAATTTGAGAGTTTTCGCAAAACCGCATCATCATTCAAGCAATATGGTAAATCAAGCTCAGCGCACTTCCTAAATATCAGATATCGAGTTTTGTAGAAATATGGTTAGCCTTTTGGATTTTGAGCTTGTCCGTCAATATCAGCAAATCAAAGTTTGTAAGAGCATTTCTCACCTCATCAAGAAAGCTCAGAAGTTTCCAAGACTTTCGCGTGGCAGGTATAGAAACTCGCAAACTCAAACCAGGTGTTCGTCGAAGCACTGATTAAATGCCTTTGAGAGAGAGAAAATTTCAGGTGCTTATCCTCGAATTTTCTTTTAGAATGAAGACATGCAAGAAATGCAATGGTGGCTGAAAAAAGCATGTGGCAGTAGTGTCCAGCCTGATCGGGATTTTTTTCAAAATTTCTCTTTTTTACCTTTGCAAAACGAGATTGGAAGCCGTTTTGATGAATGATGTAGGCTTGCATGTATACTTACAACGCAGCAAAACTTTAAATGATCCACTGACAAAAAGACAAATCGTGGTAACATTGAGAGTGGATTACAATAGTGTTTAGCATTGTATTGTTCTTCAAAGCTTACGCCTTTTAAAAAGTAAATGTGAGGTAAACAAAGGTTTAGTAGTCTTTTCATCAAACACCGCTGTTTTGCAGTTCTCAATGGCCATATCTAACTAACTACACAACACTGATGCTATCTCAAACTTTGGTCTATTTCGCCATACTGTGACTAAGCAGGTCATAGTGACTTTGATAAGAGCTAGAAAATAATTTTTGCAATATTGAAGACCAGGCTTAGCATGCCGTAAAGCTTCTTGTATCAGATTTGACGCCGCAATGATTTCAAAATTTTCGATAGAATGGGCCAAATCGCATTATGATGCGACATCGTGATAGCGATTCCTCAGCGTACTTTAACCAGGTTAAAAAAAGTGTGAGATTATAAGGATTGTGTTATGACAAGAATGCAATGGATTATCAACCAGTATAAAACTCCCTCAAGTTAGACTCTATTATATTCATCAGATGTTTTCGTTCGTGCACGTTATTCTTCTTGTGGCTATCATTGCCCGCACGCAAGCAGTCAAATGTTACAAAGGTGAGTTTGTTGTATCAAATCGTAATTCCACTCAAACAAACAGGCTTGCAGGTCGTGTCCTTAAAGGCAGTGTCCGGGCAAAAACTCGATTTTGAGATTTTGTGCTTATGCGGGCCTATTCGCCGTGCTGAATCCGAAAATCCCCATTAGAAAGCGCGAAAACGGCGAAAAAGGGCTCTAATATAGGAGGGAAATCAGCAGGTGGGCGGGGCTTTCCCCAGTGCGATTTCACGCTCCCAGCTCCCGGAGCGATTTTCTCGATTCCGCTAGCCGTTCTAACATCGCTACCGGCCAAGTGCGAATGATTGACTTGGAACCGGAAGCGAGAAGGTTGCTCCGGAAGCCGGGAACGCGAATTCGCAGTGGGGAGGACCCCGCCCACCTGCTCATTTCCCTCCTGTGTTAGAGCCGTTTTTCGCCGTTTTCGCGCTCTACAATGTGCATTTTCGGATTCAGCTTAGCGAATAGGCCCAAGTAAGCACAAAATCTCAAAATCGAGTTTTTGCACGGACACTGCTTTTAAGTCTTAAGATTGTTGCGATTTCAAAGAAATGAAGACCCTGTATAACCCTATTATAGTACAAGCTTGCACCGTATTCCTTGAAGGCAGTGCCCCGACAAATTTTGCACTTCCACATTTCTGCATGTTTCAGGGCTTTTTGAAACGTAGAATCCGAATTTGAGCTTCAAACCAGGTGAAATGACCGTAACCGTCTTTTTGAGTCCTCGGCAAGGAGGCGTTTGTCTGAAAAGACGTGTCGAAACTCGAAAATTGAAATTCTGAGCCGAAATACCCTTTGAAAGCCCTTTAACTAGGAAATGACAACTGACCTGGCAACGAAGGCAGATGCATGTCACCAGACGCGCCTTCAAACTCTGATTTAAAATCTGCTTTTCTTTTCTACAGAACAAATTTTCGAAAGAAGTCACAAGCTTTTGAAGGTCTGAAATTGTCAAACTGTTCAAAAACGCCTGCAAGTGGGTGATCAATTTCGTATCACATGTATTGACTACAAGGATGTCAGATCACAATCACTAATAATCCGCAGGTTTTTGTACGCGCTGATTTTACGCTTTGAGAAATTTGGGCGACATGATTTTGACTTCTTTCAAGAAGTTGTTCACAGAAAGAGAAAGCAGATTTGGAATCAGCGTAAAGACGCGCCTAATGGTATACATTTCTTTTCAGCTTATCAGATCTTGTCTTTCCTCTGCTTGAGTACCCAAACAAATCGGATTTGACAGTGGTGGTCTGAAAAAGGATCTTTATAACACCTGAACCCATACCTCAACTTTGACGAGGCACTGCCTTTAAACGTCGACAGATTATCCGGTTGGAAAGAAAAGAATGTTGCTTTTTATGTCAGAGCAATAAAACACACTATATATGTGTGTGATGGGCGCTATTCGATAGGGCAAGGCAAGCTTTGAAAGAGAATCTTTGAGCATCTTTGTGCGCCGTGATCTAACAAGGTTGGATTTAATCCATTAACAGATTTATAACGTTGAAAATCGGATCTTTGCCCATACAAGCTTCCACTTGTTATTGCATGTAGCAGACGTACGCCTTTATCTCACGCGGTATACTCTTAATGGTCAGAAATCATGAAAGAAATTAAAAGGCGAAGAATAAAGAACTACTGTACTGTCAACCCCACAACTTCATCCTTGAGATTTTGGCTTTCAGATGCTCCACTTCCTGAAAGATATCAATTTCGGACGAGAAACCCCGAAAAGTGACATTCTTCTCTTTCCAACCTGATATTATACAAGGTTATTCAAAATTTTGCTGAGAATTCTTTTGCCTCTCTTCAGGGTATCATTCTGTAGAGCCGTCTTGAACTTGATTTGCAGCATAGAGCGGCTCATCGATCGCTCTTCATTGCTGTAGGATTAAGGAGAGAACTACTGCGTCACTGTGCAAAAGCTGCCGGTTTGCAGAATTTTATTTTAAAAAAATCTGAAAGGTTTTGTGATAGGGGTTTCATCAACGCCTTGATGAAACTCCTATTCACAAAACCTTTCAGATTTTATTAAAACAAAATTACAAACCCCTTCGTTGAGTATCAACGTGTTTAATACTCGACTTTGTGCAGGACTGTGGAGCTTTTTCTAGACATGCTTAGACACATCGAAAAAGAAACGATTATTAGTGCTTACCTGTCATAACTTCTTAACACGTTTCGGACCGCGAATTCGCGAGCGGCGAAAAATCGTGCACTTTTGCTCGATGGTCTACAAAGTGCCCTCATTTCTGAAATTAGCATCATATCTTTAAGTAACATCATGACTTATAATAACCGGCTAAGGATGTTTACGTCTTTTTGTCTGTGTGTGTGTCTGTCTGTCCGTTACGAAATTCGTAGAGAGTGTTCCAGCCAACGTCCTGAGCCCAAATTTTGCATAGCGCACGCTACCAGCATGAAAGCTCAATATACAAAAGCATGAGCAGATCCGCTGAGTGGATCCGTTGAAAATGCGCATCATACGGATCCACTTGGCTTCTGGCCGGCAAATTTAGGTCCGTAGTACTACTTTTTACAGAGTTATGGATATATTTGACAAGTTAATGTGCAAGCCATGAACGTTAGCCTAAAAAAGTAATGAAAAGTCTACTACTTTTTGAAAACAGCGCCAAGAAGCATTAGCTGTGTAAACGGTCAATTTTTCAAGAATTTACCTGATCATTTGAGAAGATTTTTGCACAGAGATGTAGCCTACGATGTCTATTGTCTTTATGGCGACTACCAAGCCATAAAAATTCCAAAAACCTATTCAAATTTGCATCTGTTCTTCTGGGAAAGATTTCATACACGCGAAAATACCGATCTCACACGAAAAACCTCTAAAATGAAAAGCTGTTTACGAATCATTCGTAGAAGCCTACATAGCGCGGTGAGTTTCAGTGTAATTATTATGCGGGAATGAGTAAGGCATAGATAAAGTAGGGCCAGTGCGAGCCTCTGCGAAGCAGAGTTGACGCACTGGTATGAAATAAGCTCTTTACCCGAAATTCCGATTGAATCTGAAGTCTTCCAAGGTTGTCATCTGAGTAGGATTGCTTCGTTTTTTGGGAGATAGAAACAGCTCTCAATATCGAATGATAACTAAATCCTATGACACCCATGGTATCTACTGGTATCATAAACGCTGTTTTGGGAAAAGCAAATGAAAGTTGCGACGTCGCACGCATCGTTCGCGTTGCCGCACCATGTTAAAGCCATTATTTGATTTGTGACTGTATTTTCTGGATAAGTTGTTGCGGCGTGACAACATAAAGTTATCTTGAAAGTACGGGCCTAAGCCATTGACATGATATCCTTGGAGTATGATAAAACTCAGGTGAAATTCAAAAAGTCAATAAATTCGCGTGCAGCACCATGTGCAGTAACGGCCCGAAACGTGCTGACGGAATCAGCAGCTTAGCTTTATGAGAGTTTACAGGTCGTTTTCTACTTTTTCTTTTACAAAATATTGCCCTCCAAGGCTCTTCGAAGTTCTCTCCGTAATCCTACAGTAAATGAAATGCGATCGATGAATCCCTTCACATGCAAAACTAAGCTGAAGCCAGCTCTACAATGTATGCCCAAAAGGTAAACAAAAGACTTCTTTGGAAAAGAGATATAAGCGATTAAACAGTGGGGACATAGTTTCAGGATATCCCTGTATTATGTTTACAGATTACAGGACTTGGAAACGAGAAATATTACCCACCAAGATGGGAGAAGTGCGCACCGGGGAAATATTGTTTCGTGTATGACTCACCAACTTTTTGCATAATATATTCGTGATTGACGTATCCTATTTAGGAGGGTATTCAGACCACTCGGAGCGCCAGATAATACAGCACAGTACAGCTGTGACTATACCGGGCTGGTATGCAGGGTAAGCATTACACTGTTTGAACATGTGATCTTTAGTCACTGTCTATCTTTACGCCAAGAACTTCATTCGCTATTCTTACGTTTGGTCGATAAAAAATAGAGACACAGCTACGTACTTAGAATTTTTTTAGAAGAAAGGCTGCGAAAAAGTGGGAGGCGTCACGACTTGCTGCTGTGATTCTGATCTCTGCAATAGACTAAAATGAGATATCTACAGTACCAGTACCTGTAGTACCTCCAAATTCTGGGCTTTTTTGGGCGGAATAAATTCGTTTGCAATGTATTTTTCAAAAACAGAGTGACCAATCTACTCAAATGTAGGTAAGCACAAGTTTTATAAGTATATCTCACTGGCGACTATAAAGCCAAAATAAATTCAGTAACCCATTCAAATTCGCATTTGTTTTTCTGCGGGAAAAATTTTCTCCCAAAATTACCGATCTCACATGGAAAAGCTCTAAAAATAAATGGTTGTTTACAACTCATTCGTTATGTTCAGCATCGCGCGGTGAGTTTCAAAGTTATTATTATGCGATCACGAAGAAGGCATGAATAGTAGAGATAGTGCGAACCTTTGCGAAGCAGAGGTGACGCAATGGCACCATATAAGGCTATTCATATGTTTGATGATTTTTAAACTACTCGCTGAAATGCGAGGTCAGTCATTCGACAAATTATGATTGAGCAGCATCTGCATCTCCATCGCAGTCAATCAAGTGAAACCACCCAAAGTACCATCGCTGCAATGGGTGAGAAAAACAATCGTCCAACCTACACAATTCGTTGCTGTCAACGCTTTGATTCAGGACATAGCCAGTATTAGCCGTTAGCTACCATACCATCAGATAGATCTCCTCATGCTCTAACCATCCATTTACAGTTTACCTTAACTATACATTTTTGGACATATAGTCTAGAGTATGACTTTTTTGGCCTTTCGACCAATACATACCACTACTTAAAATGGCGCTCTAGTGTGTGTGTGTGTGTGTGTGTGTGTGTGTGTGTGTGTGTGTGTGTGTGTGTGTGTGTGTGTGTGTGTGTGTGTGTGTTTGTGTGTGTGTGTGTGTGTGTGTGTGTGTGTGTGTGTGTGTGTGTGTGTGTGTGTGTGTGTGTGTGTGTGTGTGTGTGTGTGTGTGTGTGTGTGTGTGTGTGTGTGTGTGTGTGTGTGTGTGTGTGTGTGTGTGTGTGTGTGTGTGTGTGTGTGTGTGTGTGTGTGTGTGTGTGTGTGTGTGTGTGTGTGTGTGTGTGTGTGTGTGTGTGTGTGTGTGTGTGTGTGTGTGTGTGTGTGTGTGTGTGTGTGTGTGTGTGTGTGTGTGTGTGTGTGTGTGTGTGTGTGTGTGTGTGTGTGTGTGTGTGTGTGTGTGTGTGTGTGTGTGTGTGTGTGTGTGTGTGTGTGTGTGTGTGTGTGTGTGTGTGTGTGTGTGTGTGTGTGTGTGTGTGTGTGTGTGTGTGTGTGTGTGTGTGTGTGTGTGTGTGTGTGTGTGTGTGTGTGTGTGTGTGTGTGTGTGTGTGTGTGTGTGTGTGTGTGTGTGTGTGTGTGTGTGTGTGTGATCTCACGATCATCCAATCTCACGTGAAAAAGCTTTCTAAATGAGTAGATTAACACGTTTCGGACCGCGAAATATGCGCGGCGAAAAGAATGCATTTTCAGCTATTAGTCAACAATGGGACCTTATTTCGGATACTGTGTGCTACTTTTGTAATCAACTTGTCAGATAAGTTCCATACCCAGAGTTCTGAGTGCATTCGAAGGGTTTAAATTTCGTCGCTTAAGGACTTCTGTGCTTTCCTGAAAGATATGAACAAGAACTCAGTTTCTAATAGTATCAAAAAGTATTTATGTTGTGAACGGTAAACATCAGTACTAAAACTACAGTTTTTGTCTTTGATATCGAAGCAAAGAAAAGTTGCGATCGCACGCGTCGTTCGCGTTGCCGCACTTCGTTGCAACTGTTCTTCGATTTGCGCTTATATCTCCTAAACAAATATCGACGACACAACTATACAGATTCATTTGAAAATTAGAAGCTTAGGCCTTTGACTTGATAACCTTGGACTAAAAGAAAACCTCCTGTAAACATCAAAAGGATCTTCGAAGTAGTGCAGCACCAATCCGAAACGTGTTGAACTTTCCTCATTGCATACGACTGTGTCGAAGAAGTCTCGCTCTTTCGAATAATCTTACCGAGAGGCTCACAGATTGACCGCACCTCATTACATATGACTGTTTCGAAGAAGTCCCGCTCTTTCGAATAATCTTACCTAGAGGCTCACAGATTGACCGCTGGCCGAGCTACAGCCTTCAAAGCTGTACGATTCAGTGATGAGATGCGGATGGGGTCATGTGCACGCACTGCCAAGAGCCATTTCAGGAAAAGAAACTCACCATCACACTCCGATGCAAAGAGGGTGGCAGAAACCATCCCACTTCGTAAAAATAGCTTTGCTAATACGTTTTGAATTGGTTTCCATGTGGAAAATTTGTTTAGAAAGAAGGAATTGAAGTTAATTTCTAAAAAAATGCAAAATAAAATTCAAGCTAATGTTTTTAGGAGTTAACCATAATCAGATTGTAGTCCTTGATAAGCTCTATGTAGTAGTATGATTACTTGTTCGGATTATTTGTGTTGCTGCTTCAAAAAAGAGACTGAAAGATGATTTTCGCATTCGATGAAATGTTGTCCACGACAGCGTGATACAGTTTTTTTTGGCAAAAGATTTCCAAATTCTTTAAAACCCATGTTTTCTAAAAAATTGCAATGTGTGCATTGCAGCTTCTGAAAAGCTTTATCATCTCATGCTCCGATCATGTCTTCATCTTTGTTTTCCATTTGAAAATGAGCGATGAAAAAAGGTAGGCGGCTAGTCCGCAACTTCTCGCCAACTCTCGTATTTCCACCATACCCGGTTCCAGTGCTAATAACACAGTGGTGCTTGATGTCCTCCATCAGTTGCTAAGACAACATCAAAGTAAATAGGTACAAAAATAATCAATACAATATGTAGTTGAAATTTTCAAATATGCATTTACTAATGACTATATAGCTAGACAATGTCTTGAAAGTAGTGTCTCGGCAGCATCTCGTTTTTCACCTTTTCGGAGCCTTCTCGCCCATAGGATATCCATATCTGAGCTCTCCAGTGCACGAAAATGGCAAAAAACGAGTTTCTCCAAAGCTTCCCAGGTCCATATTGAGGAAGATACAGCGAAAGTCTTCGCCTCGCCGCCCTCGTTCCTTTCTCCGCCCACTTACGAGTATTCTGCGCTGATTGCGGACCTGGAAAGCTTCAAAAAATGTTCATTTTCGCCATTTTCATACGGAAAAGCCCAGATATGATTTCCTCGTAGCGAATAGGTTTCGAAAAAGTTGGAAAACTGGAGGAATTCTGCCGAGCACTGCCTTTAAGAGGCTGAGTCGGGGCCATTTGAATACTTTAGCTATAGACTTCACATCTTCGGGATTTGCGATGATGGCCGGCAAGGCTATGTGAGTTTTTGGCGGTGGACCAGAAAAGTCTAAAACATTTTCGAAGCATTCGAGCGAGGAAGAGTTAGATTGACGCTATATTGTGATCAAAAGGTTTCATTCACGATGTGTTTTTAGCTAATTTTCGCGCATAAATTAGAAACATGTACATATATTATTAGAATGAGAAATAAAGTGGGTTATATTAGCACTGAACTTGTACAACGGCACACATCTAATTATAATTGCTGATTTCAGAAAGAAAAAATGTGAAAAAAGTCATAGACCCATCAAGATATGTACCACATGGTCTTTATGGGATAGCGTAAGAATTCACAATATAGTAAAATTACCAATTTCTGAGCGATTGTTTTGTCCTAATACCAAACACCAGTCCAAATATAAAATAAATTCTAAATGCCGAGTCTAAGACCCAAAACGTAGTGTAGAGGTTCTTTTTGACAGGAGAAGATTGTAAACTGACGGAGTTTTATACTGCATCAGTCAATTAGTTCATGATCACTAGCCCCTTCCTCGTACTCCCCCATCCCGCAATATGGGCAAAGCCGTAGATAAATTGACACACTATTAGGGATCACAATCTTCTACATACAGTTATGATTTAATTGAGTAAGGCTAGTGTATGGAAGCGACTCAAATCTGAGCTTTAACTTTCTAAAAGTGAGTAATAAACAGCTTTGAAATTAGATGGATAAATAAGCATGATTAAGTATTCTCGATTTTTAAGCGACGAAGATGTACGGCTTGATTCTTTATTAAATGGGTCAAAACCTTGAGTAATTTACAAATATGTGGAGGTGGAGTCACCTTATAACATACTAGCTTTCTTACCCGGCTCCGCCCGGCCCTGTCAAAACACTGTGTCAAAGAACACTATCCCTATTCCTGTAAGAAGCTTTCCCTGTGCCCACGCCTACATGCCAAATCATATCCCCACTGTTTTAATAATCAGCATGCTCGATTACCCTCCTGTGCCAACTCCCAGCCCCGTAGCTCAAACTTTGCAAAAAATCGATAAAATCGATAAAAGTAGTGGACGATCTTAAAAACTAATATTGTATTCGGAATTCCCATGCTCGATTACCCTCCTGTGCCAACTCCCAACCCCGTAGCTCAAACTTTGCAAAAAAATTGATAAAATCGATAAATATAGCGGATAATTCTAAAAACTAAAATTGTGTTCGTAATCAGCATGCTCGATTACCCCCCTGTGCCAAATTCCAGTCCCGTAGGTGGACTCGGCAAAAAAATCGATAAAATCGATATCGATCGATGACGAAAAATAGCCTATGACACCCGCCGGGGCCCAAAGTGTATGTGTGCCAAGTTTGGTCCGAATCGGTTCAGAAATGGAATTTTCTATTTGGAACATACGTACACACATACAGACAGACAGACAGACCTACAGACAAGCAGACATTCAGCTTTATATATAAGATCCAAAAAATTACTAAAATAGATATATTCTGAAAATCAAATGTTAAAAGAAAAAAGAAATAGAAAATAAATGAGAATAGATATAGAGATTCTACAATTACTAGCCTAGATTTGCTGGATTACTGCTTTGAGTTGAAACATTGCAGACTCCATTGTACTAGCTTAGAGTAGTGTAGAAGAGTTTTGTGGTGGCGCGTAGAAAAGTTTTCTACTTTAGAAGTCAAAAGAAATAATTCTACGAGATTTACGAGAAAACAGGTTGCATTAAGAAAGAAAGATTGCAAGCAAGCTCCGAGGACGCCATGAGCATTACTGATGGAGAAAATCA